ACGCGCGCGCCAGCGCCGTCTGCGTCGCGTCTTTCGCGGCGCCCTCGCGGGAGGTGTCCTTGATGCCCGCTCCCCGCCAGCGGCCCCTGACGGCGTCAACGTCTGCGCCTGCGCCTGGGGAGGGCCCCCAGTTGATGCGAGCATTGGGTGGGGGGTAGCAGATTGGAGCGGCGCCCCGGCACCCGTCTTGGAGCTCCCACTCGTCCTCCACCCCGACGGCATCGGTAGAGAGTCGGGCTGCTGGTGGCCATCCCGGGCACAGCTTCTGGGGCATGTCGGGGGCGGGCGCGCCTAGCGTTAGATTCCACGGGTCTCCACCCCCGGCCCGCTGCTGGGGGTCGGGCATGCGGTGGGAAGCCCGCCGCGCGATCGTGTTCCTGTGCGTTGGGTCATGGACGCGCGCCCTGGCTTGCGCGAACTTCCCACGCGGCTCGCAGCGCAATCCCCGCCTGCCTTGCGCCCTTGCCCAACGCGCGCGCGGGCGTCTCCCGCGCTGGAACTTAAGCTGATGTCTAGGGGCTGCGGTTGGGCCGCTGAGGTCAGGGGCCAGGCGGGCGGGCCATCTGGCTCGAGGGGCATGCTGGCGCGCTGCTGATGGGCCATGCGCGGAGGCAACTAGCCGCTGCAAGAAATGCGAGATTGGCAGCGCGCCTTCCGAGTAGGCAACGCTCGGCAGCATCGCCGGGGCTGCTGGCCCGAGCGGGCGAAGTCTGATCGATCGACCCCCCGGGGGCGCCCGGCATCCTGGGCCGCGGCGGCGCCCGGGGCATCATCAGCGGCAGCGAAGCTGTCCGGGTCCAGGGGAAAGGAGGCGGGGGTGGCGAAGGAGAGGGGGGGCCGCTTCGGAGCCAGGCAGTCGTGCCGCGCGGCCCAGGCCCTGGGCGCATCGCTGCCCGATGCGCGCGGGGCGTCGGCCCGGAACAATCCCAGCTACCAGCGCGTCGCCGGCCGCGTTCACGCGGCGGCGGACCGCCTGCCAGGACAGGGCGCAGCCCCTTTCTGCGAGGGGCCTGAGCCTTTGCGCGGCCAGCGGGGGGCGCCCGCACTGGCCGGCGCCAACGCCGCGCCGCGCGGCGGCCAGGTTGTCCCCGACAACGCGGGCAGCCCTGACAGGAGGGTTGGCGTGCGCCAGCGTGCTCAGTCTGGCTCGGCGCCCCGCTGGCTCCGCGACCTGCGCGCTTGCGGTGCCCAGCGGGGCAACAATGCATGAGGCGAGACGGGCGGGCGGGGCCCCATCGTCGCTGCGTCGCCAGAGCGTGGTTCCGGCTCCTGCCACCTCAGGCCTGCCGAAAATGGACCGTGCTCCGCCGTCGAACGTGACTTTCAAGGGCCACTGAGCACGGTCCTGGTCGTGGAAGGGTGATCTTGGGACTGCGATTTCGGGTCGACTCTCGATGGCGATGGGGGAGCGGAGCGTTTGACAATGTCGCCTACAAGTTCGGCTGAATTGATAATCCCACCTAACGTTGGGGCTGTCGTCTGTAGTCCCGGGGCAAGTAATCCACCCCCTCCCTGCGAGGAGCCAGCCTCTGGCTGCGGAGTCGCAGCGCAGGTGGAATAGCGCGGTTTCGGAGGGTATCCGCGTTAGAGATAGGGGGCCCGCGCATCTCCCCCCCCGCTCGTTGGGCGTTCCTGGTTCGGCGTGGCCGCGCCGATCCCGCTGGGGGGCGGGCGAGGGGGGGGGGCGCGCAGCCGACGCAGGGGTCGTCAATGCGGGCCCGGGCATCCGCGGTGCCGTCGCTGGGGGCATAAGAGACGTCGCCCCGCGGGCCGCGGGGGGTCGCCAGACCTGCCGGTTATAATGCAGGCCCATATACGGTTTGCTGCAGCGCCTGGTGGCATGATGGCGCTCGCCGCCGCGGGCGGAAAGATGCCAGAGCGCAATAGGTGCCGGGCGAGCGCGACAGCAACGCACCATGTCCATAGGCACTGCTGGCTTCGCCCGCTGCGACCAAATCGTGGGCGGAAGCTGTGGCGCCGGGCACAGGGGTAGCACGTCCCCGCGGAGGAGTCGCCATGCCGGTGAGTCTGTCGAGGACGAAGGCGGCGTCGTGGGCGGCCCATTTGGCGCCTATGCGATCCCAGGACCCAAGGCATTGTTCGCACCAGGCTTGTCCTGGGGTGTTGTGGGATGCGGCGCACCAGACCGCCTCGTCCTGACGGTTGCATGTGACGCATTGTTGGGGTAATCTGTCCTGCGGTCCTGACCGGGCAGCCCGTTGGCCATGAACCGGAGAACGTCGAAGGCTGCGGTGCAGCAACTGGTGAGGGCCAGGATCTGCCATTCGTGTTCCTGTCCAGGGGCCCACATGCGTCTGCGGCTGGCGCGCCGCATCCTGTGGCGGAAATCATCCTGATGTTGTAGCGCCCGCGCTCCCACGTAGATGGCCCGCCCATGGGGCGCGGGCCTGGGAAGAGGGTCATTGGGCAATGTGCTGACGTACGACTGCCGCTGCCTTTTCCAAGGTCAATTTCTGGGAGCGTGGTCGGCGGGTCGTGTCCTGGATGCAGTGGGCTTGGGCCTAGCGGGCCACCTGACCCCGGCAGCCGGCGGCTCTCGCCTGTGCCGGCGAGATGCCCCTGACGTCATGCCTGACGTGGGCAAGGGTTGCGACTGCCCGCGCGGCGGTCGCAGGGCATCTCGGGCACCCGGGTATCTGGAACCATGGGCCAAGTCCGGTGAGGACGTAGGTGGGGATCCAGGCGCGCCCAGCCGTGCCTATGGCGACGCGTATCTGCGCCGTGAAGAAAATTTCGAGGTCGGTGGTTGGGAGGACGTAGTAAGCCGGGTAGGGCACGACAGATGCCATGGAGGCGTTCCATGCATGCGGTTGTCCTTCTGCCTGGGGTGGCCCGCGCCCCGTGCAGTGCCACGGCGCGTGTGCGCACTTTGGCGAGGGCTTTGCCCCAGGTTCCCTGAGCGCGTGGGTGGAGGCGTTCGGGATCGAAGCGCCCGCCTCGGGGGGCATTGGGCCCTGCAGTTATGGCTGCACTGGTGGTGTCCAAATAAGGCGTTTGAGCCTTGACGCAAGAACTGCCAAAGGGTGAGGCGTCCATTGTCTGCCCCCACCATTGGGCAGCCGCGCTGGCCACCAGCGCGGTTTTGCCATTCCCAAAAACCCGCCACGGGGGCAACGCCCAGGTCGAAAATGTCTCTCGTTTGGGAGGCCCGTGACGACCGCTATCCCGCCAGGGGCCTATTGGGCCGTCAAGGGTGTGGCAGCGAGGGACTGGTCGAGCCCGTGAGGATTAGTAGAGAGGGCCAGGCCGCGACATGTGTGGGATGCCACGAGCAGGCCAGCAGCACAGGAGGCCCATGGGAGCATGATAAATGCGCGCTGTGCCCGGGTTGGGGAGTCTAGCAGGGAGGCCAAGTCGTCGACGTAAATAGAGCACCTGTCGCCCGTGGCTGCTGCCGTGGCGGCGATGACGGGGTCGTAGGCCATGCACCGAAGCATGGGTGAGGCGGTGCCTCCCATGCCCATGGATCGGGCTAGCCTCTGCCTGGGTCCATGGTACGTGCCCTTAATGTTTTCGACGCCCCTTTGTACAATTGGGTCCAAGAGGGCGTGCTGCATCCACGCGGGGATGCCCCACCGTCTTCATAGGTCAGCCAGCCACTGCAGCGACAGACTCTCGAATGCTTTGTTTTAACAAACGAACAACCACACAAAAACAGATGACAACACACACACACACAAACACACATACACACACAACAAACACGTTCGGAGATCCGCGCGGATTCCTTGGATTGGCGCTTGGCCCCCCTGGCGGCGCCGCAGGCGCGCTCCGCACGCCAACGGAGGGTGCGCCGATCCAAGAAATCCGCGCGGACTTCCGAAAGATTGTTCGTGAAGTTTTCTCCTCTTCGGTCAAAGGCCCGCCCCCTCCCCCTGCGCAAGAATGCACCTGTACGGCAGGCTCCTGTCGTGTGACAAGCTGTGCGCAATTTTGCGGCGCTGCGCGGATCGCTCGGCCTTGAGCGATCGCGGCGTATCGCGCAGATCGTTCCATATCGCCCGATGCCAGGCCACAGGCAGCGTTGAACCTTGCCCATCGGGGCAGGGGGTGTACTTCGAGTGAGTAGGGGATCGACTACACAATTGATTTACCCCAAACTTGATTCTGTCGCCGGATCTACGAAAACTGCGTAGAATGCTTCTAGATGCGCGAGCATTCTATGTATGTGTTCGTGTATTCGGCGACAAAGTCCATTTTGGATTTTGGGGTAAATCAGCTATAGTCGATCCCCTACTCGAGTATCCATGAAGTGCGGCAGGCCACCTGCGGGCAAGCGCAACCCTTGCGGACTCCACGCGTGCCGTACAACGTGCCAGGAGCCCTGCGGCCCCCGTGGGAGCCGCTTACTGCTGTCATCTGCTCGGACGCTGCTGTGGTCCAGGGGAGGGGAGGGGGAGGAGGAGATTGACTGCCTGCCCATATAGAAGGAGGGCGTGGGGACGTCTGGAACTGGGTGCGAGGGAAACATGAAGGGGGGCGATCGGAGGAGAAGCAGGGGTACCATTTTCGCATCCTGGGGTGGTGGCGAGCACCCCCCCCCAGCACCGATAGGAGGATGAGGAGGAGGAGGAGGAGGAGGAGGAGGAGGAAGAGGAGGAGGGAGGGACGGAGGAGGGAGGAGAAAGGGAGGAAGAGGAGGGAGGGAGGGAAAGGAGGAGGGGAAGGGGGGGAGGAAGGAGGAGGAGGAGGAGGAGGAGGAGGAGGAGGAGGAGGAGGAGGAGGGGAAGGAGGAAGGGAGGCAGGGAGGGAGGGAGGACCTCTGGCCCGTAGCTGTCAAACCATGACTCGGCTCTCGGGCGGCCGTTCGGGACGATCCGGGCACCCCCAGCACTCTCTCTGCGAGGAGCAGCTGCTGGAGAGCACCCCGAGGCTGGAAAGCCAGCGAGAACCGACGAAAGAAAATATCGAGCTTTGCAGGATGAGGGGGAGACGGAAGGAAGGAAGGAAGGAAGAGGAGGAAGAAGAAGAGGGCACTCCCTGTTCAGGGCTTCGATGGTGGAGGTCTGGTGCCTCATGGCCTTGTCCTTCGCGCCCAGGCGGCTCTGGACCTCGGCGGCGAGCTGTTCGCGCTCGCGGCCGGAGGCGGCCTTCTCCTGCGCCGGGCGCGGAGGAGGAGCACGGAGGAGGAGGAGGACTCCCAGGATCCCAGACTGGTGAGGCTGCAACTTGCGTGCAGGCAACCCCCTGCCAGGAAATCCCAGCTGGCCACAACACGCCCCCCGAGTACTCCCAGATGGCCTCAATCAGCCCCCCGAATAGTCCAGGGCAGTTCCAACACCCCAACCCTGGGGCGCGGAGCGCACCAGGGGCGCTGCCAGAAGCGGCGTTTGGATGTTGAATCCGCCCTGGACTACTCGGGGGGCCTATTGAGGCCAGCTAGGACTGCCTGGACGGGCTGTCTGTGCGCACCCCGAAGCCTTACAATCCTAGCCACCCTCGCGTGGTAAAAATTAGCCTGGCGAAAGACCCAACCACATGCAGCTGTGAGTACCGCTATTGTGAACATCTTCTTCGGTGGCGAGCCCTACGGGGCCACGAACCGTGTGAGGGGGGTGCCGACATGTGTGGCCGGGTAAACGATACGAACGGAAGACGAAACGGAAGACGATCGGCCTGACTATGAAATCTTGGGCGCGGGTGAGTCTGAGCGCGAGTGAGTCTGATTATGAATGAGTCTGCGTGCGATTGGTTATATTTGCATGACTGCGAGCATGGATACGCCTAGTGTAAATGTCTCCGAGTGTGAACTCGCGACACTGAACGTAGCCTCCGCAGGGAGCTTCCCTGGGAACCCCGACGGCAACGCCCGCGCGCCGCGACGCCCATGTCGGCACGCCCCACCGAGGATCGCGCCCGCTTCATCTCCTCATGTTCCTTCCTCTTTGCCCGCGCACTCCAAAGTCCAAGGCTGCGGGCGCAGCGCAACGCGGAGCCCTCGCGACGCGCGCAGGTCGCCCCGAAGGGGTCACACTGACGCGCGCGGTTCGTCCGCTGTGCAGGGCAGACAGTGCTTGCTGGCTAACTGATAGCGCGCCTGGCTCTGGCCGCTGGAAAAGCGGCGAAGGGCGGGCGAGGCGCTGGGCAGAACGCAGCGCGGAGTTTGCGCGACGCGCGCTGATCGCCCCGAGAGGGTCCCAGCGACGCGCGCGAGTCGTGGACGTGGAGCTCCTTATGGGGCCACGAAACGTGTGAGGGGTGTGCCGAAATTGGTGCGGTGGGCGCATGCGAACGCAGCCACTGGGGCCTTCGGTGGAGCTCCCTATGGGGCCACGAAACGTGTGAGGCGTGTGCTGACATGGGTGCGGCGCCGCCATGCCAACGCAGCCACTGGGGCCTTCGGTGGAGCTCCCTATGGGGCCACGAAGCGTGTGAGGGGTGTGCCGAAATTGGTGCGGCGCCGCCATGCCAACGCAGCCACTGGGAGCTTCGGTGGAGCTCCCTATGGGGCCACGAAACGTGTAAGGCGTGTGCCGAAATGGGCGCGGCGCCGCCATGACAAGCAACCCCTGGGCCTTCAATGGAGCTCCCTATGGGGCCACGAAACGTGTGAGGGGTGTGCCGAAATGGGCGCGGCGCCGCCATGCCAACGCAGCCACTGGGGCCTTCGGTGGAGCTCCCTATGGGGCCACGAAACGTGTGAGGCGTGTGCTGAAATGGGTGCGGCGCCGCCATGCGAACGCAGCCACTGCGGCCTTCGGTGGAGCTCCCTATGGGGCCACGAAACGTGTGAGGGGTTGGCGCGGCGCCGCCATGCCAACGCAGCCACTGGGAGCTTCGGTGGAGCTCCCTATGGGGCCACGAAACGAGTGAGGGGTGTGCCGAAATGGGTGCGGCGCCGCCATGACAAGCAACCGCTGGGGCCTTCGGTGGAGCTCCCTATGGGGCCACGAAACGTGTGAGGGGTGTGCCGGCATGGGTGCGGCGCCGCCATGCCAACGCAGCCACTGGGGCCTTCGGTGGAGCTCCCTATGGGGCCACGAAACGTGTGAGAGGTGGGCCGAAATGGGTGCGGCGCCGCCATGCCAACGCAGCCACTGGGGCCTTCGGTGGAGCTCCCTATGGGGCCACGATACGTGTGAGGGGTGTGCCGAAATGGGGGCGGCGCCATGCCAACGCAGCCACTGGGGCCTTCGGTGGAGCTCCCTATGGGGCCACGAAACGTGTGAGGGGTGTGCCGAATTGGGTGCGGCGCCGCCATGCCAACGCAGCCACTGGGGCCTTCGGTGGAGCTCCCTATGGGGCCACGAAACGTGTGAGGGGTGTGCCGAAATGGGGGCGGCGCCGCCATGCCAACGCAGCCACTGGGGCCTTCGGTGGAGCTCCCTATGGGGCCACGAAACGCGCGATGGCGTGTGCTGAAATGGGTGCGGCGCCGCCATGCCAACGCAGCCGCTGGGGCCTTCGGTGGAGCTCCCTATGGGGCCACGAAACGCTTTAGGGGTGTGCCGACATGTGTGCGGTGCCGCCATGACAAGCAACCATTGGGGCCTTCGGTGGAGCTCCCTATGGGGCCACGAAACGTGTGAGGGGTGTGCCGAAATTGGTGCGGCGCCGCCATGCCAGCCCAGCCACTGGGGCCTTCGGTGGAGCCCCCTATGGGGCCACGAAACGTGTGAGGGGTGTGCCGAAATGGGTGCGGCGCCGCCATGCCAACGCAGCCACTGGGGCCTTCGGTGGAGCTCCCTATGGGGCCGCGAACGTGTGAGGCGTGTGCTGAAATGGGTGCGGCGCCGCCATGCCAACGCAGCCGCTGGAGCCTTCGGTGGGGCTCCCTGTGGGGCGACGAAACGTGTGAGGGGCGTGCCGGAATGGGTGCGGTGACGAGGGAGGGGGCAGCGGGAGAAGGAAGGAGGGAGAGGAGACGCGGGGCCCCGTCTCTTCAAAACGAGGACCCAACACCACAGGATGGTTGGGACAAATGCGACGGGTGGGTTTTCTGCATTTTTTTCTGCCTCCCGGGGCCCTCGCAGGGCAACGGGGCCGTCAAACATCTACTCGGAATTGAATACTGATCCCAGGGCATCAGTCGAGGCATCCAGGGGTCCACGTTGCAAGACACATTGCGTCGGGGGCCTGCGCAGGACGAACAGCAGGAGAAGGTGGATGGGGGGGGAGGACCAGTGTAAACCCAAGACGCATCAACGATGTTGCAATAACCCCCCCTCCGTGTTCCCTCCTCACAAGTCCCTGCAAACGTGTATCCTCACTGCGGGAACTGCCTTGTGAGACGACAATCATCTGGGAATCCCACCAGCCCTTTGGCGACTGGTGGTTTCGGAAAGTATTCTCCCTCTTCCACGACCCCTCTTCCCTTCGGGGAGGGGAGCCTTTCCCCTTCCCTACCTGGGGTTATTTGGGGGGGGGGGGGGCCGATGTGCCAGAGGATTTGTCATTCGGCCTTTGGGGGGGGGCAATTTTAGGCACCACTCACGACGATCGTGGCCCCCGAGGGAGGGAGGGAAATCAAAGACCCCCCTCTTTTGACCGACCGCTTCCAAGATGGCCCCAAAAGGCCCTCCAGGGCTCCCAAGAGGGCCCAAAGGGTGCCCCAAGAAACCCCGGCCTCCACGAGGCATCCAGGAGGCCCCCAAGAGGCCCCCGAGCGGCCTCAGAGAGCCCAAGACGACCTCCAAGATAGCCCAGATAGCCCAAGTTGGCTAACAATGGTTCCCAAGATGTTTCAAACGGCCCCAAGACCGCTCCAAGACGGCTCGGGATGGCCACGGAGCCCCCCGATCCACTCTCGCTGTTTGAATATGCGTGTGTCTTCCTCTCTCCCCCCCGTCAACTCTCATGGGCATCCTTTCTTGATGGGGTGGTGGGGATTTTTGGTCGCAGCCGCAAGCGAAGGCGCAGGCGGCGTCAAAGGTCGACCCGGGCTACGGGCGGACCCTAATTACACAGCAAGCGTACTCACGGTTGCCAAGGCTGCCGCCGAGGGATGCTGAGTGGCGCCGGTGGCTGAACGCAGGCTGCAGGAGCTGCCAGGAGAGCCAGGCGGCCGACGTGCAGCCATCCCAGAGGCGAGACCACCCGGAAGACGTACGAATTGTAACTTGTCGCGCCAGGCGCCAGAGGTAGACGTGCCACCGAACGTGGCAAAGCGCGGGGCTGCGCAAGCAGTCCAGCGTACTAGGCTGCATGTCAACAGAGACAATCTCACACGGCTGAACGAGAAGGCTGAACAACTCCTCAACAATCCACGTAGGGGGCGCGTCCCATCATGCAGGCGGCAGCTGCAGACACGTCCAGGCTGTGGCTGGTGGGGGTACTTTTTTGGTCAGCGGCCTCGTGAAACGGGCCAAAAGGCGTCCAAACTCTAGCTGGGCCACGACTAGGCAACGAAAAGCGGAAAGCAAGACAGGCGCAGCAGCGGGGCGGCAGCTCAGACGGGCGAACAGAACAGGTGGACCCATTCCCGGTGGCGTCCGAAAATCCCGGTAAGTACCAACAAGTAGACGCAGCCAAAATGGCGCGGCGGCGCGACCGAAATCACGCGAACACTGTGAATGACTCGGCCGGCAACGTCATAACGAACGAGTCCGACACGCACCCCCAGAAGACATCCGTGAAGTGGACGAACACAAATGTCGAAACACCGTGTCAGCGCAAGAGTGAAGAGGGGGCAACCTCGTCACAGATAGAACTGCAAACGGGCTGGTGGGGATACTTTTAGTCGGCGGCCGCAGGCGAAGGCCGGCGAGTGGAGGCAGGCTGCGACGACCAGGGTAGCTGCACTGCCAGGGTGCACGCATGCAACGAGCTGCAAGGGCTGACTGCCAGGGTGGCCGACTGACAGGGCCTGAACTGCTAGTGGGGATACTTTTTCGGTCGCGGCCGCGAGCGAAGAGCGCGCGCGGCGAGCAGGGTGCCCGGGCCGACGGGCAAGCCCAATTAGCTACAAGACGCGCCGCTAGCCGGCCGGCCCACTCACACAGCAGCCGCGGGGCTGCGTGGAAGCTGACGGCAGGGGGCATCCTGGGAAGCTCGGGCACGTGCAGTGGACAAAATGTCGAGGAATTCGATGCCTGCCGCGAGGCATGGCCCACGCAGCGACGTGACGTGTACCGGGGCAAACGCGTCCGTCATACTG